CCTGCACTAGATCCCAATCCCTGCTGTAACAAAATTCCTGTGTATTTTCTCTAGGATTTTTCTAGAAGTTTATCTGTTTCCTTTTTGTATCCTTAAAAAAAAAATCACACATGTGATCATACTCTGAATACTATTCTGTATCTTTTCATTTTCTCTTAATTTATACTGGACTTCATTCCAAATCCATACTTTAATTCAGCCTCATGCATTTTAATGACTGTGTGGAGTTCTGAATAGAGGTACCCTAACTTGCTCTGGCCAGATTTAAGGGAGCAACACCTTAAAAAATATTACACAAGAAATGTATGTCCAAAATACAACAATTAGAAATTATAGCTTCCTGAAAAGCAAAAAAATCACCCATAATTTCTCTACCAAAAGAAAACCTATTTTCTGTATTTTTTGAGCCCCTAGGAATGTATTTTTATAAGTCATCCATCTACCTTTTTTGTCATTCTTAAAAAATAAAAATGAAAGCATACTTTACATAATATTTGCAGCCTGCATTTTTCAATTGGCTTGATTGTTTTAAAGATAAAAATGATTTTCCATTCTATCCTTTCTTCACACTGCAGGTTTATCTTCTTAAAGACCAATCTGAGCAATCACAGCTATGCTGCCACAGGCAGTCCTCGTTGCCTGCCATGCCTGAGGTCCTGGCTGCCTCTCTTATCCAGTCAGCTCCTCCCTGGTGCCCTTTTTGAACACCCCAACCATACCATGCTCCTAAGGGGTCCCTATGGTGACCCTACTTTTGCATCTACTGTCCATTTCCCCAGAGCAGGCAAGCACTGACACCAGCAATTCCCCACTGTCATTCCACACCAGACCCAACTGTCATCTTCACCGTGAAGATTCCATTCACTCTCCTGGCCAACCTCAGTTCTCTGGGAACAACACCCACATTTCATCTCTCTAGCATCTTCTACAGGGTCCTAAGGGTCTTGGAGGGGTTTCCATCATCTCTGTCCCAGACCACGGTGTGAGCCTTTTGAGGTCAGAGGTGCCCCTTTCACATATACCCCAGCACCTAGACCTTGGCAATTGGCAGATGGAAATCCAAGCGGGTCATCCTTAGTGCCACTGTTACTGAGATGTTTTTGAGAATGCATGAATGGGTGGCTGGATGAAGTCTAGAAGAGGCTGCAGATGCTTAGGCAGTAAAGTATTGATTACATCTGAGAAAAGCAGTGCTGTGAATAACATGATTTTTGGGTGAAAGAAAAGGCAAACAAGGATTACGTCGGGAAAAGTTGTCAAGGGAAGGTAATGCTTGCCTCCACCAGCCCTAGTCCCCTCAGTACACCTCTGGCTGACAAACATAAAGTGTGATTTTGAAGGGGTGATTTCTCAGGGGTTCTCACCTATTTCTACCATCCTCTCTTATGCCAAGCTGTTTCCTTTTGGTCTTTAGATAAACTAAGCTCCTTCCTGCTTGGGGCCCAAATAGACTGTTCTTGAAGGCTGTGGTTCCAACTGAAAGATGGGATGTTTATCTTCATGTATATTTATTTTCATTCCTAGACCACTGGACTGAGGAGAAGGCTGGCCCCCTGCCCTAGGTTAGGTTTTCCGGAAGCAGAAGCTGAGAGAGATTTGGGGGTACAAGATGTTTGTTTCATGCATAAAAGGAAGGAGGAGGGAGTAGGACTGGGTGGAGGAGAAGTTGAACCATGATGCTGTCCTGAGACACCTTGGCCAACCCAGCAGAGTGCTCTGGCCTGAGCGGTGCCATCAGAGCCCTCTGCCCCCGCTTTGCTGAGTCACCAGGTGCAGGCTGTCCTGGGAAGGGTGTGGCCCTGGCCAGGCGGCCTCTGCAGCTGGGGCAGGCCCTGCAGGAGCTGGCAGCTGGAGGCTCACTCTGTCCTTTATGGGAGAATCTGGTTCATGGCGTCTCCATCTCCGCCATCCTCCCCATATCCAAGCAACCATTATGACCTGTTATTCTTGCTCCACAAAATCTCCACGTCTGCCTCTGTTCCTACATTTCGGTTACTAATACCTTAGTGAAGGCCCTCACCTTTTCTCTCTTTGATGAATGAAATAGCATCACAGCTGTTTTCCCCATCCCCAGTCTGTCCTCTGCTATAATGCTGCCGGAAGGCACTTAAAAAAACGCACAGATCTAATCACCCTCCTCCCGGATTCTTGCTCCTTCAGTGGTTCACCGTGGTCTTCATGGTTAAGTTCAAGCACCTGGGTGCACTGGGCCTGCCTCTCCTCCCACTTCCTCTGTCCCCCACCCCCACCCCAGTCACTTTGCTGGCTGCCCCCTTTCCCTTTTTTCTTGTCTTTGCTTAAGATGCTTCCTCTGCTGGGAAAGCTACCTGGTCCTACAGTCTCTGATTAGATCCCAGGTCTCCTGCCTGCATGTCCAGGACACTTTGAGCCTCACCCAGGTCTGCGGCCTCAGGCTGTGAGCCCAGAGGACACAGGATCAGATTAAGCTCCTTTATCAGCTAAAGTTCCTTTCTAAATTACTACAGAGGAGCCTTGAAGGAGTGCCCCACCCTGCTAATCCTCCTCTGTCTGGAACCTTTTTTATGAAAATGACACCTTTTATGTTTGTGGAGATTGAGGATGAAGGTGGAACAGAGTTTCCATCTTGACCTTCCTATGAAAATTAATCCTTTTCTTAGAAAAAAAAATCTCATTTTAGTCGGCAACATTTGCAAATGGTCCTATGTTTTAAAATACATACTTGTTCTAAAAATTATTCTCTTGATTCTTTCATTCATTCAGAACACATTTGTAAACAATATCTGCTTCAAAAGGTAATGTAATGCATAAGAGTACAGGTTTTGATATTAGAGTGGAATCCACAGCCTGTCTCCAGCTCCTAAACTGTGTTACTGTGGGGAATTTACTTTTTTCATCTCAAAACCTCAGTTTTCTCATCTATCTGTAAAATGGGGACAGTACAGGCACTATGGTACTCTTCTTAAGGAGTTATGATGAAAATGAAGTGAGAAAATGCGTGGTATATCCTTAGCACAGTCCCTGGCACAAAAGCATCCAGCAAATGGGAGTCATGTCTCTTGTGTGCTGGATACTAGACATAGTGACATAATCAGGCTATTGTCCAGAGCCAAGCTGTCCAGAGCCAAGGGCACTGCTCTCTTCCAAGTGTCTGCTACCCTGGCATTCAAAACAGACTAGAGGTTTTCCTGCTTTCTACCCCGTGGTTTGTATATCTTAACTTTATCCTCCAGACCAGCACTGTCCAATAGAAATACAATATGTAATTTAAAATTTTCCAGTAGCCATGTTAAAGTTAAAAAAGTAGGTGAAAATAATTTTAATATATCTTATTTAACTTAATATATCCAAACTATCATTCTAACATGTAATGGATATAAAAAATTTTAAGGAGATATTTACATTTATTTTTCCATACTAAATCTTTGACATCTGGTGGATATTTTCCATTTAGCACCTCTCAATTCAGACACTGGATTTTCATTGGAAATACCTGATTTAGATTTCCTAAATTAACATTGAAAAAGTATATTTGCACATCCAAGTTGTTCCAAACATACTTAAAAGTTTTTCAGTAACTGGATTGAGTATCGGGTTTTAAATTGCAATTGAAATTAAATAAAATTAAATAAAATGAAAAATACTTATTTTAACTCAGTAGCCCCTGAGTTACTCTAACCATATTTCAAGTGCTCAGTCCACATGTGGTTTAGTGGCTACCATATTGGACAATGAGGCTCTAGAAGCCACCGCAGTGGTTTCAGTCTTTGTCTTCTTGGCCAATTTTTTTTCATATTTAAATGTAGATAGAAACTCATTACTTAAAATGGATTAAAAAATGGTGTTGTGGAGGTACTTGTTTCCATTTAGAGGAGGTTGGTTGAGCTGTTCACTCTCTGACTGCCCTCTCCCAACCTCCAACCTCACCTCTACCCGCAGAGGTCCTGGAGCACCTCTGCCCAGCCCTGGAGCTCCACGGAACAATTAACAGGTGGTTTCTCAGCACTGTGCACATTACTGACCATGCATTCAGAGTCCTAAAATCTTGGGGCCCAAAGGGATCTTAGCATATACATGGGTCATCCCCTATCCCCTCCCTGCAGTGCAGAAATAATTATAACAGAATTCCTTGGGAGATGGGAGAGGGTTCAGGCTCTGTTAAACACCTGGCAGCAGATGGATCATTTCATTCTATTCTGACTTACATAGTTCTCTGTGCTCTTATCTCATCTTCCTAACGAAGTTGGGGGCAAGGACTGCCTTTTACAGCCCCACAGCACCCACACAAAGCAAGTCAATCAATTCATTCTTAACCGAAGGCCTGACTGATTGCAAAAATTCAAGGTCACTTGAAATATCAGGGTCACTGCATTGCACAACTCCAAAGAACATCATTTAAATTGTGTTCTATGGTCGTGCAAGTAGTAACCTTGTAAAGTTTGCAAGGTTTACACTGCACTGTCTTTTCTAGCTGAGAAAAACTTTTAACAAATTCTTTATTGGTATAAAATACTTTACCTCCTTATCTTGTGATAGGAAGCAACTATAGGAGTAAGTTTTCTTGACAACCTTAAGAATATATGTACATCTGGGAGTATGTGTGGATGTGTGAACGTGTGTGTGTGTGTGTGTGTGTGTGTGTGAAGTGTGGTGGTAGAGCTGCTGTGTTGGGAAGCCCACTTGGAATAGTTCAGGCATCTTAACCTGGTCTTCAAGAGGCTACTGTGTTTATATTCTTTTTAGAATTTTCCATTAATAGAACCTTTCTCTGGTTTGAATGATGCCAGAGCTCCTGGCTTTGTAAAGCACCCCAGAGAATGACCCATAGGTACCAAGCACGTACACCTAAGTCGCCAAATGAACAAAGGGACTCTTCATGGCTGCATGCTTTTTATCTTTGCCGAGTTGAGAAAATGCAGAGCAGGGAGGAGGGAGCAAAGAGGTTCTTTTAAGAAAACCGTCCGTTTGCTTTTGTGTATTTCAAACTGATGAGTGTTTGTTTTTTTCTCCTGTTTATCCAGGAAACCAAGTATTGCCTCCCGGAGCTTCTCTTGGAAATGGGCTCACACCAGAGGCAGCAAAAGACCTTGGCCTTCCCGCGGGGACTGCAGTGGCAGCCTCACTCATTGATGCCCATGCAGGAGGACTAGGTAATTTCTCATTCCATGCCTATGGCCCACATTGTGTTCAGATGGAAGGGTCTCCAGAACCTAACACACCCCTTTCCTGTTTTCAAAGCAAAGATCAAGGACTGGTGTTTCAAGATATAATAATGAAAAGCCTTTTACAGTTAGGCATTTGGATAGAATTGTAGAACTTTTCATCACATATATAATTTATTTATAGTTTTATTGATTTCTCTCTATATAATAATAGAACAAATTATTTGAATAAACATCTGGATGATTCTTTGGTTTATTGAAAATTTGTGAAAGATACATTAATTTCTAACTGGTATACTTATGTATACTTTTTTCCCTAATGGTACTCCAAAGCTCTTGTAAGTTTAATAGATTTATTTTCATAATATATTTGGCTATGTCCTGTATCCAATTCCTTGACTGTATTCTTGATTTCAACTCCTGCATAACTCTCGAACCTGTCATTCATTTATTCATCAAATACCCCTTGAGCACTTACCATGTCCAGGCATGGTGCTAGGGAGCAGCGAATTTAAAACTAAACAAAAGAAAACCAAAGTTTCTTCCCCAAATTTTAGTGGGAAAGCACAATGAAACAAAGATTTACAGTAAAGTTTGGTGAGTAGCCACTTCTTCATCTTTACTGCGGTTTTTAGTTTTGGGGAGGCTTTTTGGTAGTTGTTTTAGTTCTCAGTATCTCTCATTTCAGCTATAGCCCATATATTTTTTCCTAGCCTTAACATTCTAACAATGCTTTGCTTTAAACTGTGGTTCATCATTGATGAGGTCAATTTAGCAGGACATGATAATTCCATTTTCAGAATAAAATAGAATGGAATAGAATAGAACAGGTAGAAAACATCAGAGGGTTGTACGTTGTAAGGGTCAGCAGTGCTCTGTGCAGCTGTGTCCCCATTCTGTGTGCATGTACATGTGTATACTACGCCTTGCTGACAATGAATTTTTTAACTGTGGATCATAATCAAAAACCTTAGAAAGATATTCTGGTTCCTACTTCACCCTACAGCCAGGAGTTATCTTTCAGGTACTTGTATTTCTCATGCCTCCAGCACTGTGTCCATGCGTTTACACCTCCACGGCTCAGCAGGTGGGTCTCTGCCCAGAATGATTGGTCCTCTGCTTCTCCAGCTGGCTAGCTTCTCCTTTAACCTGAAGATCAATATCAGATGATGTCTCCTCTGCAAAGCCTTCCGTGGGACACTCAGACATACTCAGACATTCTCTAAATTGTTCTTCTTTCTGCAAACTATTTGAAGAAATTATCACATTGTGTTGTGATTTCGGATTCATCTGTTTGTCTTTTCCACTAGACTGTGAACTCCCTGAGGGCAGGGGACGTCATATTTTTCATCTCGTAATCCCTCATGCCAAGCCCTGTGTCTGTTTCTTATAGGTGCTTGATAAGTTTATTCATTTAATAATAAATAAAGTTTCATTAAAGCAAGAATAAGGTGAGATGGCTTTAACCTATAGAGCAAAGGTTAATTTGTTTCCTTATTCACCAGAATATTGAGCAGTGTCTTCTGCATAGTACATGGGTTTGCAAAAACAGGACAGCTCTCATCAATCTCTGATGAACGTGTCAGTCCTGTTCGTCTTTATGTCCTCGGGATGTAACACAGTGCCTGAGAATTAGTAAATAACTGATACTATGTGTAGGTCCGTTAAACAGTATGTAATGTAGTTCTGATTACAGGCAAGAGGGTTTTTCTCTAAACACCTTTCATTGTGAGCAGTACATGCTTTTGATTAGAATGCATGATTTTGATTTTTAAGTACAAGTACTGAGAAAGCTTCAAGTCTAGACAGACATGGAGTATTCTTATTCCCTAGCAATCCTGACGTTCCAGATCTTGTGTGAAGCCAGGGAAACTTTCTTCATCATGCTTTTTCAAATATCCCTGGGTTGACAATCTCAATCATCCACCCCCTCCCAGGAGACAACCACTTGGCTGGGACCACCACATGCTGAAAGAACAAGGGCTGCCCCTTGGGGAGCTGTATGTAGGTACTGTGGTTTCTTAAAGTTCCCTAAGGGATGTGCAAAAACACACCTTCTCACTTCTGACCAGTACTCGCTGTACCCTACAAGAGGGAGATTGCCAGATGATCCCCACCTTTTTCCTAAAGGGAGATGCTTAGATAAGAATTTTACTTTTAAAAGCTTTGGCTTAGACCTTTTGTTCCCTTTAAAATTCAAATGCTCCCAAGACAGTGCATTTTCCCCTATTTTCCAAAAGTAAGTTTTTAAGTGGAAAGATAGAATAAGGACCTTGGATTCCTTAAGACCTGAGCTTAAGTGCCAGTAGTGGCCAGGAAGGGCACAGGAAGGGCTAGCTTCTCCTCTAACCTGAAGAACTGTATCAGATACTTTCTTCTCTGTAGAGCATGTGTTTTGATTCTCGGTATCTCTCACTATAGCTACGGCCATATATTTTTTCCCAGCCTTTCATTCTAACAATGTTTTGTTTTACACTATGGTTGCTAATGCATGAGATCAATTATGTGCCCCTGTCACATTATAGGGCACAGGAAGGGGGTTCTCAGTGACTGTGGGACAGTAAAGACCTACTTAATAAAGAGGTTGGGCCGGGCGCGGTGGCTCACGCCTGTAATCCTAGCTCTCTGGGAGGCCGAGGCGGGCGGATTGCTCGAGGTCGGGAGTTCGAAACCAGCCTGAGCAAGAGCGAGACCCCGTCTCTACTATAAATAGAAAGAAACTAATTGGCCAACTAATATATATAGAAAAAATTAGCCGGGCATGGTGGCTCATGCCTGTAGTCCCAGCTACTTGGGAGGCTGAGGCAGGAGGATCGCTTGAGCCCAGGAGTTTGAGGTTGCTGTGAGCTAGGCTGACGCCACGGCACTCACTCTAGCCTAGGCAACAAAGTGAGACTCCGTCTCAAAAAAAAAAAAAAATAAAAAAAAAAAATAAAGAGGTTGGCCAAGTTTTATCCTTATTATACTTTCCGATGCCTCCTTCTTTCCCCTTCACCTTACAGCCAATTCAGGGTTAGGATGTGTAGGAAAGAGAGGAGGCCTGGGAGCAAATGTTCCTGCTCATTTCCCAACCTGCCTGTGCCCCTACCAAGATGTGGAGGAGAACAAAGGTCTGAAAGTCACGAAAAGATTACCCACTGGTCCAAGCACATTCTCTAAAGATATACATCGAGTTCATGCCCCCATCAGTTATTGGTGTAGGCACTGGGGATTATCAGCAGTGAACAAATCAGACAAAGTCCCACTCCTTTTGGAGAGAAAATTCTCATTGTTCTCCACTGGCCTGGCATGATTCTAGCTTGCTAGTATTGATTTGGGACAGCTAATGCACTGAGACACACTGTGATGCTGTGATAAGGGCACTCAACACAGAGTCCAAAGAGTGGATTTAAATTCCTATTCGCCTACAAATACGGGGCCTTTCAGCACTCTCCTTTCCTCTTCTGCGGTGAGAGACAGCAGTGCCCCTCCCAGGACTGTTAGGAGGACTAATGATGTCAATAAAGCAGCTGGCAGAGTCTGGCACATAGGAGGCATCTCTTTGGTTTTCTTGCTCTGGAAGCACAAGCCTGACATGCAGTAGGAGCTGCATACATGGAAGCTTTCGGAGTTACTACCCTGGTGGGCAGTGTCCGTCAGGAGAGCCGTCTTCCTGTTGCATAGGCAGCTGGAGAAGAACCTAGGCTTCTGGACTCCTTCTGCCTTCACTGAATCTGCCCTAACTTTCCTCCTCCACTTCTCTGTAACAGAAGGCAGGACTCAGGCCTTTAAGATTCCATACAGGTGGAGGTCAGAAACAGCCTCAAGAACTCTGTGCTAAGAGATCCCTGAATGTGAAGGGAGAGCCCAGCTTTGGAGTCAGAATTAGATGCTGGCCAGGTGTCTCGCAGACCAACCCTGATGACTGTGATCACTTCAGGTGCTTCCCTGGCATGACCTGCCTCGGACTCTACATTCTGACCAGCAGAAGGGATCTGCACTCAGCTTTGGAGAAATACCTCTGGCCTCTCATCCCCAGGAAAGCCTGAGAAGGGAGGATAAAGATCAAAGACACAAGTACAGCTCCACGCATGCTTTTTCCAGTTCTGGAAAAGAGGAGGAAGGACTTTGTGGGAATAAAAATCAACGATAAAAGAACATTTTGTTCTTAAGGTGCTGGTTAGTAAGTTCTCCAGCAGACAGCCAGAAGATAGGAGTAGCTTTGTTTGCACTTTGTGGGGGTGGTTATGGCCAGGGCTCCTGCTGCTGATATTTTTCTAGCTTATAAAAATAACATTAACTTTGTTCCAGGTCTGTTCTTGGCTCCAGCACCCCAACTATCCTTAAAGGCAATAACAAGCTGATTTCTGTCTCAGGCCCCTCTCCTCTCAGTTGCTGTTATCTATCAGACAAACTCCTGACTATCTATCAAGTCTTCAATCCTGTGCCATCTCCTCTCAGAGTCCTCCCCTGACTCCCCAAATTGACTTAAGCACTCTTCCCCCTTCTTTCCCACTGTGTCTCGCGCTTACAGGTTTGTGTGTATACCACTGTCTTATCTAATAATTTGTAAACTCTTTTAGCAGCTTGTTGTTTCATCCTCAGATCCCAGCAGCCTGCATAGTTCTTTGCAAATGGAAGACTCTTACCACGTGCATATTTAGTGAATAAGGGAATGAATGAATGAATGAACGGCATTCCCTCCAGGAGGGGTGAATAGTACAACTGAGAGATGTAGTAACCTCTCATACATTGGGTATACCTGGCTCAGTTCACTAGGATCAAAAGTTTGTGTACTCCTTGAGCTACTCCTAGATGTCTGGAAATCTCTGTCCTTCTTGCTTCTGTCACCTGAGCAGGTTTGGGGCAAGAACAAACTTTGTGCCTAGGTTTAACACGACTCTTTGATTACTGATACTGGAGTCTTTGCCAGATGTTGAATTGGCTTAAATTACTCATCTAGGCCAGATGTTGAATTGGTTTAAATTGCTCATCTGAGTTGCAGAGTC